ATAACTGCTAGACTTAGTGTCTATGCTGATGATGACACTGGTATTATTAAATCTACCCTGGATGTCATAATTTAAAAAAATTCTCTGGAGGTTTATCAGAAAGACTCCTCTCAAATCAACTGGCAAATGTGCATCCTTTTTAGTGGGAGAATGGAGGCCCTCCAGTACTTCCTCAGAACTGTTCCTGGAGTCTAGAGGGGTTTTAAGTGCTGGGAGTTTTCCTTGGGACTGACCAATATATTTAAGGGCCAAGGGTTGATTGAGTTGGCAGCCAAGGTTAAAGCTATGAGGTTAAAGACGGTCCAAAACCTACTCTACCCTGTGGAATTTAGGTCATGGGTGTCGTTTTGTCTGGCTTTGATCAGAACTTTTGGTGGGTTCTGTCTTGATAGGCAACAGTTTTTTAAGATGGAAATTGTTTAATTGTTGAAATTTTATGATTCCGTGCTAAACTCTTGTATAGGTTTTTAGCTGATTAGACATGAAAATAATAATTTTGGCCTTGAAGAACCACTGTTTTACAGCTCTTTTCTTAGGTGATAATATTTGCACATCTAATACAATTGTTAAAAAAAATTATGAAAAAGGACTGACCAAAGTTTCAGACTTGTTTGAAACTTTGTCTAAAATGTCTACAGTATGGAGGTCAATGGTGGACATTTGTAATCAGGCTGGTTTTAGATCAGTCAGGACGATAAAGCGGCTCACAGGTGGGTTGAAAGCAGCTCGTTTCCACACTCCTCCTATTTGTTAACTGTTTTCTGTCTGGAGGTCCTTCTAGGTTTTTTTTTTTTTTCTCCTTAGTCACTTGTGTCTCTGAAGGTTTGTGTTGAAGATGGTCAGGAAGGAAAGTTGCTGACATTTAACAGATTACAAAAGCTTGACTTTCAGGTGGCCGGAAAGAGAGACCTCTATCAGATATGTGCTAAAGTGGATTATTTTGAGCATATTAAAGACAGAGGTAATACTAAATGGAGAAAATTTTGAACCGTTCTAACGGTGGAGGCTTTTCTAACTAAATGATCTGGAGATCTAAATTTAACTAAAAAGATTTTCCCTCTTGAATTTTCTGTTCTTTACCAGAATCTGTATTTCATGTTTTTACTGAGTGTTTTAGATTGGTTCCATTATTTACATTGCTTGAAAGATTACTTGGAGATTTGGGTTTTGTTTTTAACAAGACACTTTTTATCTATGGATGCAAGTATTCAAAAGTGCACAGACAGCTTTTTTTCTCTCTCTCTCTCTCTCTCTCTGTCTTTATTTTTCTTCTTTTCTTATATCTCCTGAACACATTGCAATGTGATATGTGTGGGGTATCATGTAGTGTTTGTATTTAGATGTTTTAATAAAGTGTGTTAAGTCAAAGTCTCTCTGCCACTTCCTGAATTCCAAATAGCAAATTAAAGTTCTGTGCTGGTCTTTATATAGACACGTATTAACAATACCTGTGTTCCTTGAAATCATGTGACATAACAGAAACTGAATGTGTTTGTTCTATTTGGTTAATCATGCACAATGTCTACAGAGAAACTCCTCTTTATAAAATAGGACTAAGGCGGCATCACAGATACCAACCTTGGTTTTTAATCTTTTTAAAAGAACGCAGTGATCCACAGTATCAAAAGCCGCACTTAAATCCAACAATACCAAAATTGCACTATTTCCGGAATCCACAAATAGTAACAAGTCATTTACCACCCTTAACAAGGCAATTTCAGTGCTATGCTTAGCTCTGAAACCAGACTGAAAAGGATCCAGTATATTATTCCCAATTAAGTAGGGGGATAACTGATTTAAAACCAGCTTCTTCAATAATTTTTTTATAAAAATGTCCATTTTGTTTAAGTCAGATGGATCCAGATTTGCTTTTGTAAGCAACGGATGAACCACTGTGTTTAAAACAAGATGGGACAGAACTTGTTTGTAGAGAACTGTTGATAACAGAAATAATATTCGGTGTTACAGAATCCAGCACTTCCTTAAGTAATGTAGTTGGAATAATGTCAAGAGAGCAAGTGGTTGATCTTAAACGGGAGACAATATCCATCAACTCCAAATGCGAGATAGGATAAAAATGTGATGCAAGAACACTCATGCACTGCGCCTTGTTTACGAGTAGAGGAACGCACACGCATGCGTCGTGGTACTCTCATTAATGGCACCTAACCCAGAGTACCTTAACACCTGCATAGCAACACCCTAGCAACCATTCATTTAAGCTTACTTTCTAATATATTTTATATCTATCTACATTTTCAAACTTTAAAACTGTTTCAAACTTCAAGCTTTGACAACTAATTCTAACTTTCAAACTAGGCTTTCTCAAGCCAACCTACAAACTTTTTTTGTATCTAGTTAAGATGCTTCTTTTTCTTCTGAGACTAAATTTTAAAGACTTTATCTCCTCCTAGAGTTTTGAAGCTACAACCACCGAACTCAGGTCAGACCTTCAGACTCTTCTGACTTGGGTATCTTTTCTAACTAATCAGACTTATGATTTTTGTTAAAGAGAACATTATTTGGTGTATTTGGTGTAATGAAATGTGTTTATGCGGTTTAAGGTTCAAAACACATTATTTTCCACATACTGTACATTATTGTTTCTCCTCTATGCCCCGCCTTTCTGAAACGCGTCGATGTTTACAAAGCTCATCGATCTGAAAAGCGAGGTGTGCTCTGATTGGCCAGCTATCCAGTGCATTGTGATTGGCCGAATACCTTAAGCGTGTGACGGAAATGTTACGCCCCTTACCATACTGTGATGATGCCCTGTCAGGCCGGAGCAATGATTCAAAAACATGAAAACCCATTATAAACGAGGCATTTGTTGCATCCAGTGGGGACATAATTATGGATTATAATGACTTATACTGTCTTTATACGCGTTGCGTTGCATCGCGCCACGTAAACATAAAACCATGTCTGCATTTGTGATCGGAGAGATGACAAACAACAAGCCCTACTCTACACTGCACATCTTGCTTTTCAGACCGATGAGCTTTGTAAAAATCGACACGTTTCAGAAAGGCGGAGCATAAAGGAGAAACAATAATGTACAGTATGTGGAAATAGTGTTTTTTAACCTTAAACCACATAAACACATTTCATTACACCAAATTCACAAAATAATGTTATTTTTAGCAACATAATATGACCCCTTTAAGAGAGATTATGTTGTGAATAAAATTGTTTATCCAAAAATAAAACGTCTTATCACTTAACCTTTATTTTGTTTCTTATCCATATGACTTACAAAAGGAGAGATGTTAGACAGAATGATGTGCTTTTTCATATAGCTAATTAAATGGTGAATGAGAGAGTTTCTCTGTCAACTCATTTTGTATGGCAAATATATTTATATGTATAAATTCATTGTATAATAATTGTAATTACATATGATTTTCAAAAGCTTACTTTATTCATGTTAGAATATGTATAACTCTATTTTAACTAATTGCAAAAGCTGAATAATCAATCAAAATATACTGATTAATCAGTGAAATAATCGAAGATTAGTCGATTAATCGTTCCAATAATAGTTAGATTAATCGATTATCAAAATAATTGTTTGTTGCAGCCCTTGTAGTGCACATCAGTGATGCTAAATCAAGCCAATATTTATCATTATTTCACAAAAAGAATTTAGCTTTTTTCTAAGCAAGTACAGCAGCGCTTTAAAAATTAAAAAAATCAAATAAAAAATACACGTAACTACAGTCGTTTTCCTCTGGTTCCTCACTTGCTGCGCTTGGGGTGATGCTTCCCCCATAAATATATTAAGCAGCAACATTTCCTGCTAGTTTCTTATTTCATTCTCATTGCTTAAAGCTATGTTGGCAAATATGCTATTGTCAAATATTGCTCGTTGTTTAAGGCTAGTTGTTCAGTAACATGTTTGTTTGCGAGGCACGCTGTTGCTTTAGGCTTATTGGTTGTACTTTGACACACTGGTAACATTAAGGTTACCCAGTTCAACTTACCACAGCTGAGGCTTGTTTTTAAATCTGTTTAAGACTGTCTGATATGAAACAGGCTTGCTGCTTAAGGCTCATCTAGTATTGAGGATGCTGTTTCATTAAACACATCCTAGGTGTATGATTATTTCCATCAAGCTGTGTTTAAGTCCGTGATATGCTGTTGCTTAAAGCTATACAGTGTATCGGTAATGTGCTTGATACTTAACTTGTAGTATGTAGATTTTTTTTTTTATTAATGCAAACGATTATCTGGATAGGGCAACATGCTGTTGCCTAAACTTCGGGTATTGACCATATGCTGTACTGCATTAAAGGGGCATGTTGCTCTTCTCAGCTGCATATTAAAGAAGAGCACCCCTTCACTGCTTCCTCTTCTTAAAGGGCATGCTGCCCCAGTCCTACTTTGCTGATCAAATTCAGTTTGTATCTATGGGTGGTCACAGGTCCGTGGTTGGGTCGATACAAACTGGTGTCCCCCAGGGCTCTGTTTTCAGCTCTTTACTTTCTAGCGTGGTCAACTACAGAGATCACTTCACCTTAACGACCACGTGTATGCTGATGACACAGATTTATATTAATTTAAAACCCAAGTCAATATGTGGATGTTTCTTACCTTTTAAAATGCATAGCTGAGATAAAGATATGAATGTCTAAATTTTTTTATTTTTTATTAAATAGATCGAAAACTGAAATTACTTGTCACTCCCCATCAGCTGCGTAATGCTGCACAACAAAATAAAATTTAAAGTTGAGATGGCTTGTGGCTTGTGTCTATATATATATATGTGTATACTGTATATATAGTTAATACATTAGTATTTTATCTTATCATAACTGTTACCCAACAAAGAACCTTGTGTACATTTCTCTGTAAAACATCCCGAGGAAGGAGCTTACTTTTTCATTTGTTTGAGGACCCACCTTTCTTGGCAGACTAGTTCGACTCGTCACAACGTGCCTACACTACACAATAATCTACCTCCCATTCCATGTGTATTTCATTTTCTTTATTACTTACAAAACAAACACTTGCTCTCCATTTCACTCTAAGAGTGTTCTGGCCTCTCATCACTTTACTCAGGTAATATATTTTAAAATGATTTCATACACCATAAATTAGTCAATGATAATCATTTTGCAATTATATCACTTTTACAGAACATGCATTCAATGCAAGTCTCTGCTTTTGACTCTGTTTTTGATGTTGATTTTTTACAAATGAATTTCAATTGTATTCTGTTTCATTAACTACCTTAAACATCTGATTTATTAAGTAACTGTATTTGTTCTTTTTCTTCACTCTTTCTCTCTCTCAAGTACACTTTGGAACTTGAAACATGGAGGTGAGAAATACTTGTTTGGGTAACACTTTACAATATGTATGCACTAATTAATTAAGTATGCACAATTTAATGGGGAAGTCGTGGCCTAATGGTGAGAGAGTTGGACTCGTAACCCAAAGGTTGTGGGTTCGAGTCTTGTACCGGCAGGGATTGTAGGTGGGGGGAGTGAATGTACAGCGCTCTCTCCCACCTTCAATACCACGACTGAGCCCTTGAGCAAGGCACCGAACCCTCAACTGCTCGCCGGGCGCCGCAGCATAAATGGCTGCCCACTGCTCCGGGTGTGTGTTCACTGTGTGTGTGTTCACTGCTGGATGGGTTAAATGCAGAGCACTAATTCCTAGTATGGGTCACCATACTTGGTCACATATCACTTCACTCACTCACTCACTCAATTAATTCATGTTTAACTAATCAGAATCAGAATCAGAAGAGCTTTATAACCAAGTACACACAAGGAATTTGACTTGACGACAGGAGCTTCCAGTGTAGAAGAAAGTACAAACATAGTGCAGACATACAGACATAAGTAGACATACATAGGAATAACACAGTAGGGATGTAATATAAAACTAGTATAATAAAAAAATAAAAATAAAAAAATAAAATAAAAAAATTTAATAATGTACTATATACAGAAATAGAAGTATAGGAAAAAATTTAATTGTTTAGATAAATGTACAGATATGTTTATTAGTGTGCAGATAGATATGTTATTTACAAAGTGTGCAGTTTAATATAAATATACTATGTTAGTTGTATAATTTTGAAAGCTTAATTGTTTAGACTGAGTATAGCCTGTGGGAAAAAACTGTTCTTGTGCCTTGCTGTTCTGGTGGTCAGTGCTCTGTAGCGCCGACCAGAAGGCAACAGTTCGAAGAGAGAGTGGGCTGGGTGTGAGGGGTCCAAGGTGATTTTTTTAGCCCTTTTCCTCACTCTGGAGATGTAAAGATCTTGGAGGCTGGGCAGAGGGGCACCAATAATCCTCTCAGCAGTCCTGACTGTCCGTTGTAGTCTCTTGATGTCTGATTTGGTAGCTGAACCAAACCAGACAGTTATGGATGAACACAGGACAGACTCAATGATAGCAGAGTAGAACTGTTTAAGCAGCTCCTGTGGCAGGTTGAATTTCCTCAGCTGGCGAAGGAAGTACAACCTCTGCTGGGCCTTTTTTGCAATGGAGTCTATGTGAGTGTCCCACTTCAGGTCCTGAGAGATTGTGGTGCCCAGGAACCTGAATGACTCCACTGCAGTCACAGTGCTGTCCATGATGGTGAGTGGGGGGAGTGCAGGGGGTTTTCTCCTGAAGTCCACGATCATCTCCACAGTTTTGACCGTGTTAAGCTCCAGGTTGTTAAGACTGCACCAGACAGCCAGCTCTTTAACCTCCTGTCTGTAAGCAGACTCGTCTCCATCCTTGATGAGGCCGATGACTGTAGTGTC